ACTGATGATCTGTTATAGATGATTTCGGTTAGGGCAATTCTGATCCTGAAGAAAAAATATACTTTATGCACCCACACAATTGAGGTCCCAGCCTATAAACATAAGGAAAAGACCTTGGACGATTATCAGTTTATTAAAAGTAAATGCCACCTGAATGAGCCCTTTTGGCAGTTATGTTGGCATGATATCCTTTTATTCATCCAAACACTATGCTTTAACATTTTAAACTACAAGGCAGTGAGGATAAAATGAGAGCATAAAATTGAAATTACTTTCTAAACTAGTGTCATTCAAATATCAGATATTAGTAGCAGCAATAGCTGTATGGCAATCATAAACTAAAAATCAGTATGATATCTATAAGGAAAAAAAAAAACCCATCACATCGGTGATACAGAGTATGAGAACCTAGTCAGTCACTTCAGGGGGACAAATGATCTCTATAATTCATCTACTTAGCCAAAAACACAATGTTTGAGGAATCAGATATTCACTTCAATTGTTGCCCTAAGGACATGAATCAAGCACTATTGAGTATGAGGCAGATAGTGTCCAAACCATTAGTGGAGTTAAATGAATTCATTTGAACACATTTCCATCATCAATTATCCGTTATCGCAAACAGTCTGCCACGAAAACTTTTTTCTGTCTGTACTATTTTCATTCTTGGGGCTATAAACCCAGCAAAATAACCTAAATAATCTTTGGTTTCAAATTTTGATATTTTACTTTCATAGAAACCAATGGGCTTTTCTATTTCCAAGTCCTTGGGCCTTTCTTAAGACCCAACCAGCAACATACACTCTTGTAACATAGAGAAACTTCAAGGACTCAGCCTGCTTTCAGTTCCTGTCACCACTCACTGGCCTGTTAGACAACGAAACTACATTTTAAAATATGTTGGGGTTCTTCTCTGCCCTTTCCACCAAACAAAAAACAACACCTAAATGCAGAGTGGGGCAATCTCCTCAATTTTCCACTTCCTTGTTGTCTCTGAGATAACATATAGGCCATTTTCAGATTAAAGGCTTTAATCACTATGGAGAATGAGATAACAAAAATAATGGGTTACAAAGTTTATCTACTCCTATGAAGTTTTCAATGCAGTTCCTGACTCCCTTTTAAGATGATAAATGTAAATGAATTAGGCTTCTGTAGTTAACTTTTACTATCCACTTTCATACTTTTATTTGATAAGAGTCAAGTTTACCAAACTATTTTCTTACGTTCTATCCTATTACTGACATCTTCATATATACACTCTTATTCTGCCAAAAGGTAGTAAAATAGGCCCTTCCTATAGGTGGTATAACAGATGCAATCCATGCAGTAGGGAAAAAAAAGTTTCCTCTCAACTCTCATAAGCATTCTGCATTTCTGGGCTTTCTAGATTGGATAATACGAATTCAAAGAAGCTTCTGTCTCACATATAGCCATCTTAGATAGTTGCTTACTGCTTACCTTAAAACAAGAAGCTCGATACAGTAGTTGCACGACATGACCAATACTTGTTTTTGACGCCTGAGGAAATCTTGGTTCTAGTCTTTGCACAACAAAAAGTACCAGAACTTTCCTTGAGAGGGCAGAACCATCTTCTAGTGCCAGCAATACCAGCTTCAAGGCCTCTTCTTGCATAGCTAGAAATATTAATGGAACATGAGTTCATGATAAATGAGGAACCCTGCAGATTATGTCTGCATATTGTCTGCAAGATGTCTGTTATAGGCATCTTTGGGTATTAGTTTATGGTAGTCCATTACCCACAATCTGTAATTAGCACAAAAAGAGGACATCACATATACACAAATACAGTTTATTTAAAAAGCATTCAAGCAAAAGAAAATATACCTCTACTAAATAACCAATTAGAGTACAAGTCAACAGAACTTAAATATCTTCTGTAGGTATCTAATGGTAAATTAGATGATAATGGTAAGCTAAAAAAAGGCATTTATAAAACATACAGAACTACTCTAACAATAGCATGCAAAGGACACACAGTAGGTGTATAATAAATAATTTTATGCATGAGAATATTATTTTGCCTATTAGAACTATTTTGTATATAATTTTAAAATGATATTAGCCTCTGAATGCAATACCCAAACGAGGTATTAATTTCATTTATGTTGTTTGACAGCCAGGGACATATTATAAACTGAATGTAATCATGAGGGAACATCAGATAAACTTAAAGTAAGAAATATTCTATAAAATAAACAGACTGTATTCTTTAAGAACTATCAATGTCATGAAAGACAAAGGCTAAAAAATGGTTCCAGATTAAAGAAGACTAAAAGAAGACATGACAAATAAATACAATGAGTGATCTTATACTGGATGTATATACTAGAAGTAAATAAATGCTATTAAGATATTTTTGGAACAATTGACAAAATTGGAGTATGAACTACAGATTGTAATACTTTATTGTATAAATGTTAAATTTTAAAACTTTGATTAATGTACTGTTGTTACATAAGAGAGTATCCTTGTTTTTAGGAAACACATTGAAGTAGTAAGGTTAAAGGAGCAGAGAGAGAAAGAAAGAATAATTAACAAATATGGCAAAATATCAGAAATGTGTTTAAAGAGTATTCAGGGAATTCTCTGCGTTATTCTTGCAACTTTTCAGTAAATTTGAAATTATTTCAAAATTAAAAGTTAACGACACCTGGTTATCAATCAAAACAATGGAATTGAAGAGCTGAGAGATCATCTAAATTCAAAATCCCTTTTTCTAAGTTAGGCTATTGAGGCCCAGAGAAGTTAAGTGACTACACCACATAACAAACCTAGTTAGCAGCATCACTGGAGCTAGAACTAAGGATTTTTTTACAAAAAATTGAGGTAAAATTCAATTGACCATTTTAAAGTGTACAATTCAGAGGCATTTAGTATATTCACAGTGTTTTACAACCATCAACTCTATCTAGTTCTAAGACATTTTTGTCACACCAAACGAAACCCCATAGCCATTAAGCAGTCATTCTGCGTACCCAATATCCATAGCCACCTGGCAACCAATAGTCTGGTGTCTGGTTTCTTTCATTTAACATAGTATTTTCCAAGTTCATCCGCATGCAGGATGTATTAGTACTTCATTCCTTTATATGGCTGAATAATAGTCTAACTATGGATATGCCACATTTTGTTTATCAGTTGATGGAAATGTGGATTATTTTCAAATTTTGACTATTATGAATAATGCTGTTATTATAAACATTCATGTGTAAATATTAGTTTGAATACCTGTTTTCTATTCTTTTGGGTATATACCTAGGAATGAAACTGTTGGGTCATATGGTAATTCTGTTTAACTTTTCTGAGACACTGTCAAATTGTTTTCCACAGCAGTACACCATTTTATAGGCCCACATTCTCTACATCCTCATCAACACTTGTTATTTTCCATTTTTAAAAATTATGGCTAACCGAGTGAGTGTGAACTGGTTTCTCACTGTGGTCTTGCTTTGTATTTCTCTAATAACTACAGACATACAGCATCTTTTCACGTGCTTGTTGTGTCATCTGTGTCTCTTCTTCTGAGAAATGTCTATTCAAGTTCCTTGCCTATTTTTAAATTGGGTTGTCTTTTTATTGAGTTGTAGAACAAAGGAGATTTGATAC